TTGACTCCTTCCGGTCCACGCCCACTGACTCCTGAGATGCAGAGTTCATTCGATGCAGCGGACAAGCCAACCAAAAGAGGGAAGAAGGTTGACAGCAAGGGAGAAAAAGTGGGTCAATCCTCAAATGTTTCCACCCCTAAGAAGCGAAAGGCAGCGAACGTCGAGTCTTCTGCTCCCAAGAAGCGAAGGGTTAAAAAGCAAACTAGACGACCGAAGTCTCCTTCTCCTTCAACAAGCGATTCTGAATATGTTCCATCTGATGGGGAACCAGATCCGAGAGATGTTGAGCTAGACTTAACTGATGATGAAGCAACCGAAACCAATAGTCCATCAAGAGGTAATTCGCCTCCACCCTCACCAACCGATAATAGCAACCGCACCTCACCCCCTCGCTCTGTTCCACTTTCGGTTCCTATCACCATTGCACCTTGTCCTCCACCTATAACATCTACAATCGCTTCAACCATCCCTATTCCACCACCACTGTTCTCTACAGCAACTATTACCATAACCACTACCACACCTAAACCCACTGTTCATGTCAACGTATCTGATATGGGGGCATCTACTGTCGGTCCTACTCCTCCCGTTACCTCAACACCTTTAACCCTACATCCATCACTTGAACCTGTTCTTGGCGGTGAGGACTTGGAGTTTGATTCCACTTATTTTAGTCCTTACCGTGTCCAAAGCGATGATGATGAAGACGCCCCACTTACCAAACGGCACCTCAAGGTTGTGACTGACAAGATTGATCAGTTACTGTCCTCGTCCTCTGCTGGTGCATATTCCGAGGCAGCCCTTAAATCCTTGTTCTCTTCCATTGTACAAGAACATGCTACCTCAATCTCCAATGCTGCAAAGGCTATTGATGCTTCCACCTCACAATGCCAGCATGCTTCGCTTGCTGTTGAAGCCTCAACCAAAGACTGCAAGGAAGCGACCGCAAAAGTCGAAAAACTAATTTCGGAAGCTCAACTATTTTTAGATTCCTTACAGGCGGCAGCTCAGAAAAACGCCTAAACAGTGAACGCATCTGTTGACAATCTCACGTGTTCACTAGAGGCAGAGAAGAAAAATCTTGAAGTGGCTCGAAAAGCTATTGAAGCTGCTAACGAAGAGCTTCATACTAACATTGATAATCGTTTAACTCAGCTTGAGGCCGAGCTTGCAGTAGAAAATAAAGTGATGGATGAGCTGGACAAGCGAACTTCCCAGCTCAAAATTCAGAGTTTAAAGCTCCGAACCGCAACCAAAAAAATCGACAATTTGAAGTCTGAGCGAGAGGTGATTCGAAGCTCAGTGGGTGATGTCCATTCCATTTTGTTGCATCTTCTTGAAACCCATGACTCCATTTTAACAATCTCCATATGACGCCACTTAGCTGAGAAGCTACGACCTGCTTTGGATATCTTAAGTAGGATTGAAGGTGTTCCGGGACTAGTATTCATCCGAAACAAGGGGGAGAAAAGGTTACACAAGGCAAGGCTGGCAAGGCTCAATCACAACCCCCTCCAGAACCAAAAGCTACTGCTGAACCGAAGGATAATGTAGCTTTGGTCAGTAAGAGGGAAAAGAAAAAGAAGAAGATTGGAGAAGATGATGATCATGCTGATGATATTGAAGACATCATGGAAGGGAATCCTTCTAAACTTGATCAGAAAATTAAGCCTACTGATAAAGAACTTTAGGAGAAGCTTCAGAAAGAAAAAGAACTTCTCGAGAAAGAGTTGAAAGAAAATAAACTCCTAGAGAAAAAGAAGTCCATGTTTCCGGAATGGACTATTGAATCACTCCAGAGGGAAGTCATTGATGAACCGAGTACTCACTGGCTTGAACCTGTTATGTCGTTCGGTCTTGAGAACTCGAAGGATGCACAATTCGATATGCCAATCACCCGAAAGTCATTTATCTTCCATTGCTTTGACTCAACGGCTGTCGTTCCCTCTCCAGACCCAAAGGTAGATCGGGATTTATTGGAGTTTTATCTTGAGTTCGCTCAGCCATAATACTTGACCTGGAGCACACAGAAGATTACTACGGTCAAGGTATTGAAGCCCTTTTTGGCAGGGAAATTCATTAATGTTAAATTCAAAGTGATCAGAGGCTCAGATAGCTCGGTCCATACTATTTCCCTGGCTGATCTACCAAACTTGAACCCGCACGACTGGATACTCCTCAACAATATTTTGATGACTAATCCTCAGGAGTATCAGCCGATCATTGATCACGTCAAGCGAATGCTTGTTTGTTACATTCAAGAACTAGCAAAGATGGATCAAGAAATCGCATCTGCCATTCACAAGCGAACAACGAAAAAGCCGATTGGAAGGACTGGCGATATGAATGCGATGGTCAAGGGCAAAATCGATCCCAAGTTTCATACTGTGATGTTCATTACGGCCGAAGGTCAAAAGTGTCTGTTCGCTCTGATTGACAAGAACCTATTCTCAACTGCTTGCTTGGAGCACATTTTGGAGATCATACACAGGTGTAATCAGAACAGTGAAGCTGACAAGAAGTTGTTCACCGATATGCTTAGATGGTACATTCAGTTTCGGCAGACACTTCTTGCGATCATCCCTCGGCTGTTCAAGATTGTGAAGAAGGTCAAGGTCACTCAACCGAAGTAGTCTCTCGCCTCATTTGACGCAAAGAGGGAGATTGTTGGGTATAGTAGTATTGCGTCCTTGGGCTCGGTCCTTAGCGCGGTTTTGTTATCCGGTTTGGTCTTGTCCAACCGTGATTATTTTATTAGGGTTTAGTATTTAAGGTGCATGCATGCATCCTTTATTGTAAGCGCTTTAATTATTATTCTGATTATTGTACTACAAACCCTACCTCGCCTCTACAGTGGAAGTTCTTTGTCGAGCTCTGCTGAGGCGTGACTACATTTGAATCATTAAGCATTACTTGATTATATATCGTGTTTATTGTGTTTGATTGCTATTATTGTTTGACCTGTTGAAGATCTAATCGATCTAAGAGTTTTTGAGCTCGTCACTATGAATGCCTACATAATGTAATGCAAATATTTAGGTGTTGTTTGATTTTCTAAAGCAAAAATCCATGAAGTCTGTGGACCACCTCTACAACCCTCAGCAGTAGAAGAGGTGGACCAAACGGCTGCAGACTGTAATAAGAAGCGTGTTTGTTTTTTTAACATCTGCATGCTACTGCAGATATTAAAAAATTAAAATAAATTAATTTTATAAACCAAAAAAACTTTTTTAATACGTAAAATTTAATAATGTATAACATTTCGGCAAGAATTATTGATATTTCAGTAAAAAATAATAATATTTCAACAAAAAATAAAGATATTTTAATAAAAAATAATGATATTTCATCAAAAAATTATTATTATTGAATATAAAAAAACGAAAAAAAAATTCAACAATAATAAACAAAAAAAACGAAATAAAAAATGAAATAAAATTTCAACAACATATAATCAAAATTTTAGCAAGAAAAAAAGAAGAAGAGGTTGGAAGAGGCAGGACAAGTGCTGCGCCAAACAGAGCACGCACAGAGGTTTTTGACTCCGAAGACTTCTAAAAAACAAACAGGTGCGAGATGAAAAGTGATGCGCGTGTGCTGTGCCGCGCAGCAATAAGAGGTCTGAAGATATTTTTTCCAAAAAATAAACAGCACCTTAGAGTTGAGATAGGTAAGGTATATATGAATATTTATGTGTGCAAACCTTTGGTTAGTTTGGAGAATATTCAATCTTGTTCTGATATTTAGATAAACAGAGTTATGATTTCATCCTTGAGCTGTTAGTTTCATAGTCACCATCTTTTGCATCACATATATACGAATGTCCTCTAACATGCTGATAATAGGTTTCTTCCTAGCATTCAAAATGACACTATTAAAGTTCTCTAAAAATCCATTCTCCACAGTCTCACAAGATGAATTGTAAAATCTGAAAAAAGCTAGAGACCAAGTCTTTGGATCTCTATCCATAAGATGGATAACGGCTTAAGAATTCAACTTTTCAATCTCTCTCGTGACTAAGTTAAAATGTGCTTCAGTTGTTGCCTTGCTTGCTCTCCAAAACAAATTTTCAAACTTCGCTCCACTAAACTTCTTTCTAAAATTGGCATATATATATATATATATATATATATATATATATATATATATATATATATATATATATATATATATGCTTAGCACACTGCCTATGTTCTACTGCTGGGAATACTTCTTTAACTGCCTCAACCAAACCCTTCATATGTAACAGGAATGGGTGAGGCTAGAAATGTAAATATTTATTATACTATGTTTAATATTTTAGAAACATACCTTGTGTTAATCAGAAATTAAAACCATATCATTTCCTTCATTCCAACACTCCAAATCGTCTGAAAGATTTTCAATGAACCATTTCCAATTCTCCTCGTTTTCCACACATACAACTGCCCAACAAATTAGGAATATTCCATTGTTAGCATCCCTACCAACAACACAAAGTAACTCATCTTGGCAAAAACTTTTCAAGAAACAACCATCCAAGTTAACGATCCTTCTACACCCTCCCCTCCACCCCTCTTTGACTGCAGCAAAGCATATGTAAATCTTGCTGATGTAATTCTTACCATCAGGCATTGCATCCACATGAATTTTAACAGTGGATCCAGGATTTGATCTTTTAATCTCGTCACCGTATTACCATATTCTAGCATAATATTCTACAATCGTGCCTTCAACTAGACTCAATGCATACTTCTTGGCTCTCCTACACTGACTCATACTCACAACAATGCTAAAAGTGGTTTTCACCTCCTCTCTAAGTAATCTGACATTCATATTTTGATTGTTAAAAAATTGTTGGGTAAAGTGGGTACCTATCCATTTATAAGTGACAATTGATCCGAATTTGAAATTCTTTGCACAATTATGGTCACTAATAAGAGACTTGATTTGGAAAGACTTATCATCACTCATCCATGAACCCCAAACCCTAAATGTTCATTTTCCATCACAACATTTAGCTAGAAAACGTCTACTATCATTTTTCACAAAACATAATTGATAACCATTTACAACAGCATAGTTACAGAGCATGTGTTTCAATTGTTTACGACACTCAAACCTCATACCTAACACATGTTCTTGCTCCTTCCAGTGTAGCTTTTCATTGAAAATATTTGGCGACTCAGGATAAACATCTTCATTGTCATCCATGGCATCTTCCAAAGGCTCACCCAAACCTACATTCTCACCCATGTCGACATCAGGCCCATTATCCTTTTTGAAAAAATGAGGGCTGCTAAGGTCATCCTTATCTTTATCAGCATCCACATCCTCAACCCCATGGTCATCCTCATCATGATCCTCATCCAAATGCCCTGTCTCAATTTCCTTAATTGGCCCTGCACCATCAATCACTTCTTCCAATATGTTATCAACAACCTCTTCTTTGTGTTCATCCAACCATTCCTGCATGTTACTATTACCAAAATGGTCTACATACATAGGGAGTATAACACAACATTCATAAGCTATTGCTATAAAATCGACATAATCCATCTCATTGGAAGTTAAGGTCAAACGTTTGGGAACATCAATATCTGGGTGGCAGTAATAGAGCTTCTCACACTTTTTTCCAATGAACCTTTCGATAAACTCATAACACCCGTTCTTGTCCATGCCTGTAAAATCGATGTCCGACAACCTCTGAGTAATCCCGCCAGTGTAGCGTATGGGGTATTTGGCGAAGATTTCTTGGAAGTGCACATCGACTTGGATGAATCTCGGATCCATGTTTGATGTTTGAGGAGACGAAAGCAAGTAAGGATTTATCGAAATAGATGGAAGTGGTGAACACTCGATGGGAAAATGTCTCGTTTAAAATCAGTAAAGCTACGTAATGAACAGTGAGTGAACAAATTAATGTGTGACATTATTTAATGACATGGTAATGGACAATATACACAATCAGCGGGCAATAGGGTTTAAATAAAACAAGTGGCGTAAATATGACCGTTTGACCCCTTCATATATGAAATAATGACGTAATCGACCCGACAATATAAAGCTCATTCCCTCATAAAACCACTTAAATAGTTAAGTGACTAAAATGGTAAACCTAATAAAGTTCATAACGCTTATGTATCATTTTCCAATTAAATTATTAACACATGTTAATATATAGAGTGTTTTTATAATTCCATTAAATTATTAATACATGTTAATGTATAGATTATTATATCTTTCACCTAAATTAATTAATTTATAAATAGTTAAATGTATGATCATGATTTAGTCCATGTAATATTTTAAGCAAATAAACATAGAATATATCAAACACATCGTATATCAATTTTTGTTTCAAAAAAGATACGCATAAATCATTATTGAACAAAAATAAATATAACTATGTAATAATTTATCTAATTAATATACTTATAATCTTAATTTAAACAAAAATAAAACTAATAGTGTAAGGAATGACCAACGAATATATATATATATATATATATATATATATATATATATATATATATATATATATATATATATAGGGTGAGGTTCAATAGAGAACTATAATTAACTAAGGAACCAAAGAACCAATCTTTTTTTCAACTTTTAGAACTTATTTTTTATCAAAAAAAAAACTAAAAATAAAGAGAATCATAACTTTTTATACTTTTTCCAATGATATCAAATTCGATTTTTTTTACGTCAAATTCACAATGTGAATCTTTGAAAATTCACAATGTGAATCCGGATTCATACGGTGAATCCGAAAAATATTTTTCACATTCACAATGTTAATATATGAATTTAGATATTTTTAGATTTTTTTTTCGATAAAGAATAAGCACTAGAAATTGAAAAAAAGATTTGGTTCCTTAAAGAACCAATATATATATATATATATATATATATATATATATATATATATATATATATATATATATATGTATAAAACCTACCCCCCTCTCTCTCTCCCTCCCTCTCTCTCTCTCTCTCTCTCTATATATATATATATATATATATATATATCATGCTATATTATAAAGGAATCATTTTTCCTTTCACCACATTCATTTGAAACTCTAATGACCTTTCAATTTCTTTTTAATAATGATTATAAGTTGATTAATAAGACTAAATAAATATCAAACCTAAAGTGTAATCATATATAAATTAATTTTCAATATTAAAAGAATATCTTACTTCTACGTATAAAGTTATGTTTTTTTAACTTTTAACATATTATACTTAATTCATTAGTTTTAATATATTGTTGGATGTAAACCATTATCATTTTAAAGCTATAACTTTTGAAAAATTTGTATAAAATACTTGAATTATAAATTTAAATATAACATTAAAGGATCAACTTAAATATAAATTTTAGTTTAACTTAAACAACCCAAAGAATATTTTGTAAATAGTTAAAGTGATAAATTGTAGTGTATTTCTAATAATGATTATAAGTTGGTTAATAAGGTTAAATAAATATCAAACCTAAAGTATAATCATAAATAAACTAGATTTTACTTCTACTTATAAAGTTATGTCTTTAACTTTTAACATATTATAATTAATTTATTACATTTAATATGTTATTGTATGTAACCATTATCAGTTTAAAGCTACAACTTTTGTCAGTTTGGACAAAAAACTTGAATTGTTAATTTAAATATAACATTACAGTGTCAATTTAAATATAAAGTTCAGTTCCACATAAAAAACTCAACGAATATTTTGTGAATAGTTAAAAGTGATAAATTGTAGTGCTAACTACAAAAACTAAATTATAATCTCAATTTAACTAAAATATTTCCTATAAATATTTCTATAATCCTTAAAAGTTTTCAAATAAATAGCTTAAAATAACTTACAATAACAATAGTTAAAAATAAGTTTATATAAATTATTATATTGTTACCTTTAAAATCAAAAAATAATGTTTGATGTTTTAAATAATTATAATGATATCAATTAAAACGTCAAGAAAATAAATTTTAAAAAATTAATTAACAATAACAACAACTATAAATAACATTAAACCATATATTTTTTAAAATTTTATTCATGAGTAGCTCGCAGGTAGAAGTCATTCAAATGGTTAAGATTATGCAGTTATAATAGATGTATATATTATCATATAATTCAAAATAATCAATATATTATATCAATTTAGTATACGATTTATTATATCAAATTTAACAACAACGTTATTGTTATATTTAAAAAAACATATATTTGTAAATATTTCAACGATATAGGTGTTTCTGCGCAACGCGCGGGCATTCGCCTAGTATATATAAATGAAAGATATAAATGTTAAAAGAATAAGATAATGATATAAAGAATGAGTAAATATAAAACAAAAGGCATAATTACGAGATCTTGTTAAATATATAAGATAATACTCTCATGTCAAAAAGATATTCTAAATATGTAAAAGAAATTACTGAGTTCTGATATTTATCCATTTCAAACAATTATTTTAATTTAATCTCAGTCTATACTTTCATACATTCTTATAAATTCTAAGCACTAAAAAAATCAAAAGTATCAAAGCTTTTAATAAGAGATAATCATAAATAACATACTAAAATGATGATTTGTTTGGAAACTAAATCTTGTATGTTAAAAAAAGGATATATCGTTTAGGATTCTTTTTCTCGATTTATTATTTTAAAATAAAATTAAAATAGCTATTATATATATATATATATATATATATATATATATATATATATATATATATATTATGAAATAAAATATAATTAAATATATCCTACATCTAATCTAATATATGATAAACTAAACTTCCATCTTTCTCTCTCTCTCTCTCTCACACACACACACACTCTCTCTCTTTCTCTCGCTCTCTCGCGTCCTTCTCTCATTCTCTGGGAAACAATGATCCATCATCGCCAGACCACATCCTTCGAATCGCATCCAATCCGCCATCCTATTGAAGCTTCTGAAATCTCCGTGTTTCTGAAATTGCATTTCCTCAATCTAGAATCGTTTCGTTGATTTCAATTACACAAGTTGCAAGGGTTTCTCCGTAGATCATGGTACCTCGTACCAGTGACGACCTTTTTCCGGTGCGTCCACTCAGAAACCATTTCCTCGTAACTTAGATCTTATACAATGTTTTCCTTAAAATCAACTACATAACCAATAAATTTGAATCCACCGCCACTGCGCCTCCACAATTCTATCTAGATTTGGAGTCAATCTATCGTTCCTTCATCGATCAAATCTCTCATTCATGGAGTCATCCGGTCACATACCGAAATGGAAAGGAAGATCGAGTGTAATACTGATCCAATTTAAAGTTACTTTTGAAGCTTAGGGAAGAACTTAGGTCTTAATTTGGAGGTATTGTATATGTATTTCATCATATAGTTCTTAATTTTTGCATTTGCATATTTCATCATAAAATTTAATTTAGAGGTATCGTTCCTCCTATAGAAATACATTAGAACCGTTCATCATACACTGATTTTTGTTGCTTACTTGCTTCGTAATATCCAATTTGTTTTTCTTTTCTATCAGAATCGTTTTTTTCTATCTATTATAGTTTCTTTTTTGTTTTCGTTTTTTTAAACTTTTAAAATTTCATTTTTATAGGTTATAATTCCTCCAAATGGCTACCTTAAGTGAGAGAAGTTTGTTCAAAGCACAACATCTTAACGACTGCATACGAGATACAAAGTGGTTTAGCAAGACCAGGAAGAATGCTGGTATGTGATGTGGAAGGTGTGAGGCCTGATGTTGTTGTAAGTTCTTTTTATATTTATTCTCTCTCTCTTGCACATTTTATTAAAATGAATAGAGGAAAAAACTTATAAAATATGATGTTTCAGATAATAGGGAAAGCATTAGATGGTGGAGTGATACCGGTAAATCCAGTTCTTATAAAGATCAAATTGCATATGCACTTGAAACTTTAAGGCCAACATCATCATGGGATAGTACAAGTGGCGGAAAATGATTAAACAAAGTCTTACTTGGAGGGCGAGGTTTTGGTTTAGAAATGGAAACACTCATCTCATACCTTGGATCCGAACATGGGAACACTTTTGCATTAGGTTTATAACCCTTTTCATTTTTCAATATAATCCTAATGATTTTTGAGATTTTCAATTATGAATTGAAATTATTTTTCAGCCAGAATATTTCTTTTTTATCTGGATCTCTTTATTATGGACATGGAGAACTTAACACAAGAAGATATAGTGAACAATATGCTAGGAAAGGAGATGATGTTGAGCTGGCATTAATCCTTGAACAAACACAATTTTACAAGGATTTGGTACTAATATAAATCTTATTTTATTATTACAAACTTACATTACATATATTGGTAAATAAGAGTAAAGTGTGTTGCTTTTCCTATAATTTACCATTATACCCTTATGAGTTGTGTAAATGATATTGTGTTTAGAAATATATCTTAATTTAGGAATTTG